GACTTAGCAGGACTCCACAATGCAGCCTGCCACCCACCTCACTCACACACACACACACACACACACACACACACACACACACACACGGCCTGGCCATAGTGACCCGTCCGCTCCCCATTCTGGGCTCATCTCCCCACCATGTAGGTGAATTTTAGCTGGATAGAATCCCCTACCCCTTTGCCCAGCACTTCCCCAGAATATAGACCCAAGCCTTCCACATTGTCCCCCTGGAATATATAGACCCAAAAGCCTTTAGGACACCCACAATCCAGACCTCCACAGTACACAATGGAGCCCAACACCACCCCCTAAGGTATCGAGACACACCCCTGCACTGTCCCCCAAACACACTTTTTGCCTAGATAAGGACCATGCACACCTATCAACCAAGGACTCACCCTTAATTCTGCTCTCTGGTAGGTATAACTGTCTCCCATTTTATAAAGGATGAAACTGAGGCTTACCCAGGACCCCACAGTGAGGGACTGGAATGTTCATCCCCTACTCATTACCCAGCTGGTCTTCCCTGACCACCTTCCCTTGCCTCTCATAATGCTCTGCTCTTTTCCCACCCAGCACTAATCTAAAAGTGGCCTCACGTCTTACGCTGCTGGCTGCTGGCTGGTGACTCCTAAGTTCACATCCTGGCTCCACAACTTACCCACAATGTGGCCCTGGGCAAGGCACTTAACCTCTCTGGGCCTTTCCCAATCAATAAAGGGGACAATAAGAGCTGCTACCTCATAGGATTGTTGTGGGGATTTGTTAAAATACATATNAAAAAGGGAATTATAAATTAAGTATGTTCATATTTCAAAAATATATAAGGATAAACCACAACTTGAAAAAGTAGGTTATCTATGAGGAAGGGAGGAACAGAGGTGGCAACCTGGATACAAGCTGGACCCCTCTGACTGTACCCTCTTTCTTAGTTTTGACTTTGGAACTATGAAAATATTCTACATAAATAATTTTTAACAAAAACAATCCCTAAAACTTTTAAAAGAAAGTGGCTCAAACAGATCTAACTGTATATCAAAGTTAGTGGAATACTGGAGGAGAATTATGTCAAGTGACAAAAACAAAACAAAACCCTTTATTTTAGCAAGTAGGATATATCCTAAGGGCAAAAAGAACTTCAAAGAAATCTTAAACTTCATTCAGTACTCTCAATGTTAGTAATTACAGTATTTTTTCGTGTATAATGCACTCCCATGTATAATGTGCACCCATGTTTATGGCCCAAACTTTCAGGGGAAAAAAATCTTT